TACAGAACTCAGCCATATAAGAATACCATATAAGGTCCATATATCAGCCACATCTGTTTTTATTATTTGGCTCACTCTGGGTTGGGTTATGGCACTGTTTAGGTTCAGTTCTGGCTAAAAATATGTGGACCAGTTTTGGGCCGGCGAACACAAACTAATCTGGGCCACACTTTAGCTGTTGATATGGGCCAGATCCGCGCCAAAGGAAATTTGCTGACTGGGTGTCTTTCATCATCTCATGTTCGAGATCCACCTATGGGAAGGGCATCCGTGCCTGACCTCTGCAGAAGCATCCAATTGCACCAAGTCTGGCTTGACAGACAGGAGCACGTGCCCAATGGCAGGTAAGGGACCGCCCCTTAACTGAGTGCATAAAAGCTCCTGCACGCGCTACCTTACCTCAGTTGACATTCGCTTCTCGCAACCTCTCGAATTTCTCACAGCTTGTTGGTATTTGACGTTCACTATTATCTACAGGAGGACACATCTTGCATCAGCCTCCGCCAGACATGTCTGTCATTTTGCCAGGTTAGCTGTTTTATTCTGCAAGCTGCCCACTCTCGCATTTATTGCTAGGCTGCTCGCCTTTTACCTCGCCTTTTTCTCATTCCATCCACTGTCCGATCTCATGGCTCTTTCGAAATCGAATCCAGCTACCCCCGTGGATAACCAGTCGCGGGCCTGCCAGGCCGCGTGCGGCACCCTCATCGCCGCTAGGGATCCCCATCCCTTTTTTCATGGTTTGCACGGGTCTTAAGCACACTCAGGAAGCCGTTGATTTCCTGGTGAGCTGTAGCCACTGCTTGGCGCTCCCTAAGAAGCTCCTGCGTCGGAGGCTTAGGGTGGCCGCTATGCAGAGCATCGACCTGGGATTCTCTGACTCGGATGGGGGAAAAAGGTGGCATCGACGCACTCCCGGGGGCCTCCCGCGGTGCGGCCTCTCTGAGCTGGGCCGATCAATGTGACCCGTCCCCTTTTGAGGATATTTTGTCTTCTGATCCTCATTTCATCGACGGGCCGCCCGGCTCCGGGGATGAAGACGATGCGGGACTTCTCGATGGCTCGGACGACGAGGAGGCCATCCCATCATCCGTAGCCCCTCAGGCTCCCGCCGCTCTGCCGCAGTCGGTCCTCCTCGAGTTTTGTGAGCGAGCGGCTGCTCGCCTCAAAACAGAATGGCCGGCGCCTCAGAATACGTCGGACCAGGAAAGGGACGTGTACAATGGAAAACTCCTCGGGCCACCGCCCGGCCCTAGGAAGCAACTTCTTCCCGTCCTCCCAGCATGTGCTAAGCATATGAAGCACTGCTGGGGAGATCCGCTCGATCTTAAACACGGTCTTGCAGGTCTTGAGGTGAAGGGCATGGCGAATCTCGGTATGGGTGACCCCCCCACCATCGAGCCCTCTATCACCAGACACCTCAACCCCTCTCAAGGCGGGCTGCTCGCTCCACCCAGGCCCGCTTTACCCGCCAAAATGGATCGTTTCTCCGCGTCCATTCATCAGGCCTCTTATAAAGCCTCGGCTTTGACGGTAAGAGCCCTCAATGTCTCCTCCCTGCTTTCCGCTTACCAGGCTGAACTCCTGGTAGACATGGGACAACAACTAGAGAAAGGGGCGCCATCACCCGATCTCTGGAAGGAGATAGTCACGGTGAACGACCTCGTTCTCCGTAATGCCCGTCAGGCTGTGCAAGCATGCAGGCGCTCTAGGT